AATGTTTTCCTTACTGTCCTGCGGGGATCTGGTTTTGGCTGACTAACATTCAACAGTGTATGGTCACTAATCTAGAAAAGCTTCAGTAATCATCCCTGATAAAACCTGAATGGGGAAAAAAAACCCTGCAGATGAAGTGCTGAACAGCCCCAGGAACAGGTTGCTGCTTTGGACTGCTCACTTAGAGTGCTTTTTATTGAAAAATATTGCTAAATCAGATACCATGTGGCTGGGGTAATGCAAGGAATGCACAGATTTGATTCACAAGATTAAAATTAAAATGCTGTAAGTCTGTAAATCCCCAAAAGGGTTCTGGTAGGCAGCCAAATAAGAGCAGAGCAGTATATAAAGCTTATTATTTATTTATATGGCGTTAGTAGGGTCATTGCTGTAAGGACACATTCTGTTCTGGCATCTACTCTTCAAAAAAAGAACATTCAGCACATTAGGAATAGTTTTAAAAGCTGACAAAGACTAGAGGGGTGAAGAAAAAAATTAAGAAATTCAATCCATTCATATAAAGAAAGATTGGAAGATCTTTTCATCATGGTATGTCAAATCCCTGGATCAGGACATTTGCAGCAGAACACCCTCCAAGAAGAGAGATACATTGAAATCCATTGGCAGGGAGCCAAAGACAGAGGAACTCAAACACAGGCTTGGGCTTTGAGGCTTTTTTGAGAGAACAACAGTTGCTCAAGTAACTTACCTACAGAGGTGACTGATTCTTTTTCTGAACTTCTTAAAGCAAGACTTCTTTTTTTTTTTTTATACACACTTCTTGATATTATGCTTACGTTGAAATCAGTCAGTGAAGTTTCATGACTGTGATATCCAGAAAAGCAATCAAATACAAGTTCCCTTTACCAACAAATGGAAACATGAGCCTCTGATGGCCCTTACCACCAAAACCTTTGTTTGAATTGCTAATTTGCCTTCTACTTCTGGGAGTCTTTAGTCCAATACTGGTAGCACCCACTGTTTTTAAAGCCATTGCAGATAAAATCCTGTCTCCAAGCAGAAGAGCCTGGCTCTGTGGGCAAATCTTTGCTCACTGATTCAAACAATTGGCACAAACTAAAATCCCAGGAAGGCAGGAAGAACTGGGAGACCCACTCTACAGCCCAGTTCTGCACCAGAGGAGAGAGGAAGAAATTCGGTGTCCAGAAGCACAAACAAAAAGGGACTGGGAAGTAAATTAGCTGAATCTGAGGAATTCAACGCAGCTGTTGGCTGGAAGCAACCACCCTTCAGATCCAGAGGTATATACTTGAGTGACAGAGATAATATGGCTTCTAATTTTTCATATAACTACTGCATTAACAGAGACAGGAAATCTTGAGACTGTTGCTAATGACATAAGTAATGGTGGATGAAAAGCCAGAGGGAAAACAAGGCCCCTGGTGGAAAGTGCAGAGCTAGTGCAAACTACAGTGGCTTCCCAAGCCGCTGTGGTGACCTGGCGTTTTAAAGCACTCAGATGCTGCTGGTGGAATGAATCTCGGCAGTGGATTTGTCATGGAGAAGATTCAAGCTGAAGACATGATTCTTGCAAGTGGTAGAGCCCTACAGATTAAGGCAGGAGACAATCAAAATTTTATGTAAAGCACACTGGAAATTTGAACAGACAACGTATTTCAGAATTGGTTAGAAGAAGAAAAATAACTTGGGCATATACCCAAAAACACATGCACAGATGATTACCTTTGCTTCAGCCAGCAGTCATTTGATACTAAATCTCATTGTCTTATGAGAAAACTTTGCAATATATTGTGCATGCTCACAATTCTCCATTTAGCACCAAAAAATCCAGCGATTCCTCAAGAAGGAACAGGTTAAGACTCTGGAATAATGCATTTAATTCAGCTACGAGGAACAAGAAAGTTAAACTGTATTATTTATATATTGTATCTTTATATTTTTGAAGAAAAGGCCTGCTGTTGACTTCTACCTACATGGGACTACTTTTAGAATTCTAAAAAAATGTGTGTCTTGGACACCAGGACAAAACTGAGTAAATGTTCAGAGATCCAACTTTTAAAACTTCCAAATCGAACTAGCAACTGATAAAACAATTCTGACTCATTTTTCTAGTATGAAGAACCTTTTTAAAACCTCAAACTTCAGTGCAAGCTCAGAACACTTACTTGATAAGTAGACTTAGAGAATCTTCATGTTTGTGGAAAGCTGCTTTTTACAGTAACTCCAAAGCTCAGCTAAGGAAGCCTCAAAACTAAAAAGAAAGAACCTAAATATGAACGTAAAAGGACACACATTTACTATGAACAAAAGCAATAAAAACCAGAGAGGTTTGTGCATAGAGTGCTTGCAAAGTAACTCCACTTGCTGCTTTAGTGTCAAAGCACTGAAGAGCAGCAACTTCCCAATTATCCAATCCTTCTCCAGGGATTCTCAGAACAAAACTGTGAGCTGTGCATGTTAGCTCATTCTTGATCATTTTGAACATGCAAATGTCAAGAACTCCTGGGAAAGGCACTGTATTTGGGAATCACAGGTACACTTTTAAGGACAAACACCCATGCAATGTGTACTAGGCACCTGTGTATATAATACGCACACATGCACATAATTGAACTAGAAATCTTTCTCCTTTAATACAGACATGTTAGGTCTTGAATTCCAGCTCTCTTGATGCTCTAAAGATTTCTGAAAACACATTTGCCTTTAATACAAGAACATACTTATGTCACAGGCAGCATTGCTCAGTAAGGGGGACCTACTGGCACCACAGGCCTGCCCCAAGCGTTGTTCCAGGGAACTCAGCACCTTCCCCCTCAGCCAGCCAGGAGAGACCACTGCTCCACCAGCCACCATTCCACCTCCTCACACCATGTCTACATGCTACCAGCAGGGAGGAGGAAATAGAATCAACTGGAAAAGAACCAGTAGCTGAAAGAGGGGCAAACAGGGAGTTTGAGATGCTTAAAAAGGGATGAGGCAGCATCAGGCTCTCCTCCTCTGGAAGGGCTTCCACTATTGCTCTGCTGTCTGCAGCCACTGCTCCTCTAGTCTCACAACCCCTACCTCAAGCACCAGTGACCCCTTGGCTATGAACATTTCTTATCCCCCTCCATGGCAATAACACTCTGAAGCCTTTCACTGCTCTTTCCTCCCCCCTTTCTTACTGAAAACCACAGCAAGGAGATAGATCAGCTAGACAAAAACTTAAACCAGTGCAAATGTGAAACACAAAGGTAAAGAAAAGTCTTTAGCTATTACTGGACATGCTGCAGACATTGTGCCTAGTAACTGTGGCAGTATCTAGTGCAAAATAAACTTAGCATGAATCTTTTGTTTTTAAATGACATTCAACTCAAACATGCATAGGGAGAGTAAAGTTATTTTATTAAATCATGCACATCACGTGTGTTAGTGCAAATAGTTTAATCTGTACTCCAGAAATTCTATTGTATTTTTATATTTTTACAAAATAGATTTAAAACAATTATTTACTTTAAAAAAATGTAATTCTGAAGTTAAGCATTTCAGAACAATATTTGCAATAACCTATATACAAGAGGTACTAAGTACCACTGGCATACGAGTGTTCTGTGGTTGGGTGGCTTCCTGCAACTGAAAAGGATGAAATGAATGAACTAAATGACAATATTTCTACAAGTCACTTGTGGACTATTTTTTCCAACTATTAATCCTCCCATTAGCAAATCCCATGTAACTTAAGATAGAACCTTAAAGGACAATGACCCTTAAAACCTCACAAAGTAAATTATATGCTAAATTTCCATTTAAATATTTAAACTATCTGTCGATTGCCATAACATTTTAAAGCCAATTCAATTGCTGAGATTACCTCCCTATTTTGAAGTTTCCTTTAGCAGAGCCATTTTATTTTACCACTCTTTAGCATATTATTTAAGTCTTTAATAAAATTTTTTGACAGGACTGTTGAGCTGAACAAGACAACGACAGTCTACATTTAATTTCGCACTAACTACAGTGATTCCCACCAAAAGTCAGCAGATTGCAATAGTTAATGGTACTTAGATCAAGAAAAACTTTGTAATGGGGACCACTGCATCATACTTACAGCCATGTGATGAGGATGCATAAAATTTTACTACCAAATTAAAATCATCTTGACCTGAAAATAAATCATCAGGTAGATGATTCCAATTTTGTAGCATTTTATGAATCTTCAGGGTTTTTTCAGCTAATCACAGACATACTGTAGCAGTTCTCTTAATAAAGTTACGTCAACAAAAGCTTATCTAAAGAGCTTCTCCAGCTCAAGTCAGAAAGTATCAAATGACTGAAAAAATAAATTGATACATGTGGTATGTGAGAAAGTATCCATACTTTTAAAGAATGCATCTCTTTAAATATATGAAATTTAATAAATTACATTCAAACTAAAGTTAACGTAAATTGAATCACTGCACTATGTCCATCAAATGACCAAGTACTTGCTCCCAGAAATACCTTAGTTCACTCAAGAACACACACATGCTTACACTCGCACACGCGCACACTAAATACTCTAGGCTGGTCTTCACCATCAGTATCTCAATCTCTTTAAGGCTGGACATGAGTTGTGTTTATTCCCAAAAATCATTAATAAAGCAACCCTTATCAAAGAAAAATATGCTTCCTTCAAAAGGTGTGGTAAGAGTTTTCTTAAGTCTTGTTCCCAACAGCTCAGTGACTAACAGCAAGGAAAATGGTACAACTAGTTTGTTGTTTGGCTTTTTTTTTAAAAAAACGAAAAGTCATACTGAAAGGCACTGAGCACACTGCATCTCTCTTCCAAGTATCTGCAAGGTTACTAGGCTTGGTTGTCCAATTCAGAAGTGTGTTTTTCCTTTTAAATCTGGCAATCGGATTCTAAAGTGTCCACAACCCTAGCCATTATAAATAGTTTGGTACCAAGAAGCCTACTTTAGGCCACCATTATAGTATTCAGAATCCCAACATACTATTTTAAAACTTGCATGAAATTGTAAGCAAAAGTATTGCTCACAGTATGATGAATCACAATTTTATTCCCTCTTTATAGGCAGATACATTTTATACAGTTTAAAGCAAATGACCCTACTGCTGTTCTCACGCAGAGCTGTGCTGTATTAAGAGGTAAAAAGGAAGAAAATTAATCTGTTTTCCCTCAGCATATGAATGTTGCCAGCTTCTAAAGGGAGGACGGTGTATGGATTCAACAACAGTTCTCATGGAGAAGCTCTGGTTAGGCCTGGGTACAGCACCACGGCTGTTACAGCAACCAAAGCTGCCATCACAGGCATCCAAGGCCATTGTCTCTGTGTGGAGAGAAAAAAAAAATCAATATCATATTTGTTCTAATTCATACTAATCAGTTTACCCCGAGGCTCCTGAAAGTCCTGAGTACCTGTTGATAGGTATGACTACAATGTTACCCACGAGCCCTACTGCAGGCTAGTCCTGAGGGAGAGCACCACAGTAAACCATGTTTCTCTAGCAAAGGAAAATCCACAACTCTTCATGACTGAGCATCATCAGGAGAAGTTTTGGCAGTTCTGTATTTCCAGCTTCATTACTGCACACACCTCAAAGAAATCTACTATTTAACATGTGAGGCCTTAAGATGTTTAAAACATCACTAGTGCCAAGCAATCACTAGACAGGCTTATACAGTACTGACAGCTTTAGTTAGTTTTTGAACTTAGATAAATCCAGATCCATGAAGTTCTTTTGTAGCAGATCCTAACAACATAATTTCAATGAAGTGTCACAACGTTTCATGACAAATACAGCATTTTAAGAGGAGGACACACGGAGACAGGTAAGGGAAAATGCAAGCTGAGAGTTCAGGATACAAACCAACCACCTATTTCTCCTCTTTTTCCATCTTCTTCATAGCAAAAGTGAGAAAAAAATTAAAGTATTCACAGCCAAAGAGAAATTTCTTAGTCCATATATAGGAACCAAAGCTTGTTGGGTTTTATTATTATTTAGAGGCAAACTCTTCATTTTTCTTAGTTCATTAAGCAATTAGAATTATGTTTTCTTACAGGCCCTAGCATGGCAGCATTGTGCAAAAGGTAGCCCATGTGCTAAAGACCAACTGAGACCAAGTTAGAAGAGGCACATTCAGAACCAGTTAGGACAAAATTCATTGTTAGAATTAAAGAAATCACACAGACGTTAAATGATTAGTTGATCGCTCAGCTCATCAGTATCAACAGAATGGCATATTAAATGAAGGGTTTGCTTCAGGTAAAGAAATACCTGTGAGCATTTCACCATGCACTATTTTATACAGAAATGGCACAAACAGGTGAGAGGGACAAACATACATTGACTGAACAGTAGTGCTTGTACCTTTCGCTACCACAATGGGCCGTAACACCAATACAGGAAAGCCAGGATTAGGCCGATGAATACGGCTGGGACGGGTTGTAATATGGAAGGCTAAAGAAGGGAAGGGATATTAAAAATCACTTTGTGCTATAAATCAATCAGGTCAAGATGATTTAGAGAGGGGAAAATAAGTCAGTGAGCTTTGTTTTAATTGAAATGTATTAAAGACATCTAACACAATACAGCATCATCTAATCTGGTATACACAGTTAGTACACCATTCTACTCAAATGAACAGGGATGTTTAAAAATAAAGGAAAGTAAGCAGAAAATGTTCTAAGAGACCTCTAATCACAACTTGGAATTTAGCACGTAAAACCAATACAAATCTTAAATTGATTTGCCTACACGTTATTTATACTTGGTTTTAGTTTTTCCAAGTGATAGGAAATCCCATCTGGATTTCTTTAGGCAGAAAGACACAGTACACATTGAATTTTTCAGCTACTTCTTCATTCCTTGCAAGTTAGCCTTTCCCATTTTCTATCACCAGTCTCCAGGAAAAAAAACATCTTTCTTCTATTAGTGAATCAATTACAACAATGCCCACAGGCAAACCCAGTAGTTCAGACATTCCTGTGAGACTAATGTGACTGTTCAAGCAGCACAAGACACCCTAAGGCAGGGAAGTACACTTCTGTTAGAGGTACCACAAAGACCAGCATCTCTGGCAGGTCATCAGCCCTGTGACCAAATGTAATTCTGAACATTGATCAGATGTTGCAGCTGGGCCAAACTACAGCTGGCAAGATTGCAGGGTTCATTTAGCTTATGGCCTCATCAGAACCATCTCCAATTTTCTCAGTTACATTCAACTAACTGTAAACTACTTCACTTTCTAACTGACAGCCTCTATCCTTAACACTGAAATTAAAAACGAAAAAAGGATCACAGTTCTTCCTAAGCTATCCTTGGAAGACATCTGCTTTCTTTGCATCCTAACCTATGTATTTGTGCACACACACAGACACACAGAGGTTAAGTGCAAACCATGCTAAATATTTTCCCAAGAACTTTTTTTGTGCTGAAACCACCTTGATTTTGTTCAGTCAAATAAGTAAATAATAAATCAATAAAGACTTTCTAAAACATTGTGATTCATTAATAAAATCTCATCATATTATGAATTTGTAGAAGTCATTAAAAGTAGATCTTCCAATATGGTTCAAAGAAGGAATCTTAGAAGGCATTCTAGTCTCTGCCATTCAATTCACGTTTGTTTTAATCCAGGCAAATATTTAATAGACATCTTATGTGTAACAATTAAAGTCATTTTCATGCAGGATTATTTGTGTCATTTGTGCCACAAATTAGAGTGCCACCTTCCCACAGAAAGCACTGATAAAAATAATCACAACAGTGTTCAAAAAAGTGCCAGAAGTTTGTGAACCAGAGCAGCTAATGTTCTCAAACCATTCACATAAACAAATCTGTCATATTAAGCACATCAGGAAACCATCAGTAACTACAAGCATGCAAGCACAAGCAGCACACCACACTGCTAAACGTTTCTGAACACTTCTTTTCTTAAGTAAAATTTAGGCATAAAAAGTTATCATTTAAATGATATCCCAGAGTACAGGAGCCTTGTCTTTTCTAACATTTGCTAGTTTGCTGAACAATTCCACTGATTTTTTTTAATAATTATTTTTTATGTACATTCATGGCTGTGCTATCTTGATGAAATGGATGTTAAATATCCACCTCATTAAATGAAACTACCTCCAAAAGATTAATTTTTCCCACCTCATCAGCTTCTCAAGCTATAAAAAAAATGTCCTTACTGTTAAGAAGTATTTAACTAGGTGCTTCATAAAAAATTGTATTAAAATATGAAAATATACAAACTGAGATACAGATGGACTGCAACAAGGAACAAATCCCACAGTGGGAAGTCACTTCCTGTGGGACACTGTCCTTGGAAATGAAGTAACAAATAATGATTACAGCATAAGGGGGCAATGGTACTTGAATAATTTGACCTTGAAACTCAGCCCAGTATCCATGATGCTTCAAATAATCCACAAGATAGATACTTTTCACATTACTGATTGTGAGTAATGCTCACTTGAACAGCAAGCTTGTCCTGCAAGTCCTTAAATGGTTGGATGCTCTTCATCACACCCTGACCTCCAGATTTCAACTGTCATAACTAACTCCTTCTCTGGAAGCAAATTTTGGCAACTGCTGTGGTTCCTGATTTCATTTAAATACTCAATTGAAATTCTTCCAAAAGTTACCCTTACTTTGCAAGCTTTTCCACTTCCATCAGGTGCTCCAATTCCCTTGATGATATTTGTTCCCTCTACTATTCCCCCTTTTCCACTGAGCATTTTAATCCTGAGGTTTTTAACATGAATAAAAAAACCCCTCACAATCACAATTCTTTACTCAGTGTGATCTCTACTAAAATGGGAGGGGTTGATTTTGTTATTTTTGACTTCTGCCTACTTTTGTAACTTGGTATTGTCTGAGCATTGCAGAAGAACTGTAAGCAGGTTCCATGAGAATTATAATATTCCTGAAAATATGGCTGAAAAAAATGAGAAGGGCTTGAAGTCTTTACATCTTTGACAGGTCTACTATGTTAGAGGCTTACAGTCAGTAACAGGATATGACAAGAGTGTTTATACAAACTTTCAGCATCTAGCAGCCATCTGATTGAAGAAGATGGTACCTGTAAAAGTTTCTTCCAAGTCAGAAAAACAGTTTTCTAAAAGGCTATTACAGAGGATCCATTACCCTCCTTCTTTCTGCTGTCCACTGCAGGAGTTGTTCACCCTGCACTGATCATAGAATCAGTACAGAAAGACAATAAACCAGCCATTCCACTGTAATAGGGAATCTAAAATAAGCCTATGAAAAAGTCATAACATGTCTGCCACACCCCTAACATTTGGAGGATTTCAGAAGTCTCAGTATAAAAGTTTTATGTAGCTGTAAACTCAATCCTAAGGATACAACCTTAAATTAATTGTAACAGAAAAGAGTATTTTCATTAGTCAACAGAAAAGACAGTTCAACTGCACTATTTAAAGCATAAGCCGATCAGGGATAACCGCAGTGAAGAAGCAAGAGCAAGACTAAGGAGGAAACATCCGTTGTAATAAACATTAATAAAGTAAAAGTATCTTGAAAAAGGTTGCACAAGTCATTTGGATCCAGGTTTCTCAGCTTTTTACATGTATCACACTCTGAAATTAAAGTTTTGCTTAGTTCTTGTTTACTAGCATTTAAGCCAGATGTTTTCAAGAGAGCAGATATCTAAGGGTACATTTTAAATTGTCACAACTTGCACACATAATTGTAACAATGTAGTGACCTGCAAATTTGCACAGGTGGTGAAAATGGAATGGAATTTTGTATATAATACAGTTAAAATAGTCCTTTTTTTCTTTCCAAATCAGCCCTTCTCTATTTGACACTTCCATATTCCCTCAATAAACAGAATTACCACTGTTGCAACTCAGTGTCCCCACAGATTTTGTACAGACTTACGTTGTTTCCTTTCTCTTGTAGCAGCTTCAGGTTTTCTTTACATTGTTTCAGCTCTTCTGTGAGTGACTGATTTTCTTGTTCAGCCATCTCATACTTCGCCTTCAGCTCTGAGAGCACAGTCTGTGTTCTTTCACACTAAAGACAAAGAGAAAACAGTCTGCAGACTCCTGGACACCCAACAAATGCTTACATTTGCTTACCACACAGTTTCCTTTCCTGTCATGTGCCTAGAGTAACTCACTTCAGGTCAGAATACCCTCTTTTCAAAAAAGCAGGGTAGAAAAATCTTATTTTTTTTTTTCTTAAATTAAGATTTTTATCCCTGACTTTGAAGGGCCAGGATTATTAAAAACAAAGAAATACAAACTATATATAAAGCCTTAATTTATCTCTCCTACCAAATAATTACTCATTATCATATTGGAACGTACGGTAAAAACTACAAAACAAGAAATGGGAACAAGGAATCTCTTATGTTTAAATAGTGGTCTTACATCTAGACTGTAGCTTAAGTACCTGTACAAAACAACAGGTGCAAAAGTCAACATTCTGTATGAAGCAAATCAAACCTTCGTCCCACAGAGCAAACTCAAACATAAGAGTAAAAGAAAGTCACTGCAAAAATACTAAGCCTGTTTAATTGTCATGCAAGTACAGACAATACTGGGTGAATGCGTCATGTTCCTATAGTGCAAGCAGCTTTTTTTTCTCAAACTCACATTCAGTTTTTTCCATAGATCACAAGCTTTCTTGTATGCCACATGACAGGGATTAGTGAGGACAGAACTAATGACTTTCAGTACTGGCATTTACCACAAATTTAAAAGACTAGCCATCCTTACAAATACATCTGATTGCAAAAACCAGACTAACAAGACTAGGATTTTCAAATTCTGAAAATGGTAAGGAATGTGACACAGAGGAATTAATGACAAAGCATGGAAAAAGACTGCAAAAGAAACTAAAAGCAGTGACTGGGAAAAACTTCACTCGAAATGCTCATAAAAGCAAGCAGTTGTTGGAGGCTATAGCCATCTTCCAGACAATCTTTAGAGGCTAGGTAGATGAAATACATGCTCAAGACATTAACTTTTCCTTATGCACTTGCTAATCATCTTCAGCAGCCTAGTGATCCAGTGAGAAGAAAGGAGACCTTTGTAAAGAATGTGTAGTCCCATTGTCAAAATAAGACAGTTCAAAGCTAACCAGGAAGATCATACTGACTAAAAAGAATTTAGTTTGACTCATAACAACTAATGAAACTCTACACCATGATATTCAGGAAAAGTCTTAATAAGGGTTTACCTGTCTGAACCG